CGCGGGGCGGCCGGATCCCCTTGGGCAGGAGGAGTCGAGCCGAGCCCTGAGCCCGCCGGGCTGCGCCACGGGGCACCGGCAGCGGCACCTGGCCGCCACGTCGGGGCGGCTCCGGCTCCTTCCCGCGCTGGTTCTCGGGGGTCTTGAGCCCTCCCTTGGCTTTCCGGAGCCAGCTGCTGCCTTCTCCCGCGGTTTGCCACCGCGCAGCACGCCCGCCACCCCCAAGATTGAGGGTCTCCAGCTGTCCCCCTTCAGAGGCACCTGCTGCTCTCACCCCGTCCATGGGCTCCCTCCCCGGGCAGGGCTGCCGCCTTCCCCAGGTAGCTCAGAGCCGGGTTGTAGCCAGGATGCTCCAGAAATTATGCAAGAGGCAAGGACTGCGTAGGCTGAGATCTTTTATTGGACCAGCTGGTTGGGATATCCACAGAGGCTGGACTTTCCTGAGGCTGCTGGTCCTTGTGGCTGGTCCTCCATCTAGCAACATGAGGAGACACTGAGCAAACTGAGAGCCAGTCCATTCACTTGTCCAGGTTGGTTTTGAATCTAGACTCCTGCCTCTTCTTGCTTCCTGTGTGATGGCACTGGGCTGCAGCTGGGGTTTGGGTTTTTTAGCCAAACAGACCTCTGGATTTTCAGCAGAAACCAGAGAATTGGGGAGCCCTGTTAGTTCAGGCTGCCTGCCACCCTGCCTCCGTACCAGGTTTGTGGGGCTGCAGACCGGCTGCAGAGAGCAGCACGACTTCAGCAGTGCTGCCTCTAAGAGAGCCCGTCATTGCACCTGCCAGCAAAAATCGCTTGCAGAAATTATTTTCACAGCACGGCCTAAGGGGAAGGAAACATGACAGTTGTGGGGGGAAAGTTTTTATTTCAGTACATGTCCACGACTTCTGTGACCAAGTCTCAAGCTTAGAAAAAAAATGAGCCTTTTCTCTTTCTGTCCTCTCATGCTTCTAAGAAGTGCATTTTTCACTTCTCTTTCAGTTGAACGCAGCTAGGTTTGTACATCAAGGTTAGCAGACAGCTCTCTCTGTTTTTTTTTTTAATTCAGCCCTCGTAATACAAGTGCAGCCAGTGAAGTAAATATTTTGGGTGTGCAATCCAAGTGAGTACACTTCATGTCTACCACTTTCATGGCAAATCTGGTGCCATAGTTCCCTTGATTAAGATACTGGGAAGAGCTCCTGGTGGTTTATCCCACCCTCCCTGCATTTCATTCCTGGTACACTCTCTCCTGCCTGTTGTACTTCCATGGGAATTAGAGAGAGAGGTAGAGATGAACTGGAAATTAGTTTTGCCATTTCAGAAAGATGTGCTCTTTAAAAATAAATAAATCCTGTTTTATATTATGATACGATATATGACATAGTATGATAGGAAGTTGCAGAACAAGAAATTACCCTCAGACTGGATTAAATATGGGTTCAACAGGAACTATGGATTCTTATCCCATTATCTGGATTAATTTTTGTGGCTCCTTCGTTCCAATGGATTTACTGCTCATGTGCTTGTCTCTCCTAGCAATTCTCCTTTCCTCCCACCCTCTCTGTCTCTCCCCTCTCTTGTCTTTTGTATCCTATCTCTCTCTCCTTCTTATAGTGTGCTTTTTGCTTGTCCTTTCACATTATGAGATGTAGTGAGCTTCATCCCATGAAAGCCTGAGCTAGATAGATAGATAGATAGATAGATAGATATAGATCCCTCTCTCTCTCTCTCTCTCTCTCTCTCTCTCGAGAGAGAGAGAGAGAGAGAGAGAGAGAGAGAGAGATCATCTACTTTGGTTAGTCTATAAGGTACAAATTTACCCTGCCTTATATTAAGATAAACCTTAAGAGACCTTTGGAAGTATATTGGGAAAAATGATAGACACCCCACGCCCAGGCATCCCTCATCACCACACTTGTTCTCAAGTGAGACATTCAGTCTTCTACTGAAGCTGTTCCACCAACAATTAATCATTGTGCCAGAGACATGGACCCATGCAGTCCAGTAGGTGACTGCTCCAACTAGTAGATGGCAAACTCAAGTTCAAGTCTATAACTAGATCAGGCAGAGACTTAAAGCTAGGTTTCAAACATCTCAGGTAAATGCCTTAACTACCAAGCACCGTGGCTAACATCTGTTTCTTGCCAAAAAGTCTATGCTGTAGCCAAGAAACCCTTCCTTACTAGTTTTGTCAAAACTGGTGGTCTGCTGATTGGTTGCAGATTGATGACCTCACCAGTGACTCTGATCTAATACCATTCTCATATGAAGCAGTTAAAGCATAGTTAAAGCAGGCAGAAGGAGTAGGAATCAACTTGGAAGATGAAATGAAAAAACTGGATATTTTTTTAATAACATGCAGGTGTTTGAGAACAATTGCAGATGAAGGTGAGAAACTGCATGATTGTAGGGATTAAAAGCTGTTAATATTAAGTTTCTTAGTAGCAGTGGGAGTGACATTTTGGAATGGAAAGAGGGAAAATGATTTTAAAAAACCTACTTTTTCACTTTTGCTATTTTCTTAGGGGGATTTTGATGCAGTAGAAAGTTAAAACCCTTTACTAAAAAAACCCTAAACCCAACCATATTACTTAGGAGGAAAAAACATGATCTAGTCTTGTGTTTTCTTGAAAAAGATCTTTTGTTTTTATTGGAGGTTGGGAATAAAGTAGAATAATACGAGTCTGTCTCTATGAGGAAATAGAAATTCTGGCATAATACCAAATTAACTATTTTGGAGGGGGGTATTTTGTCTTAGCACACCGTACAAAAAACCCAGAAAGCTACAACTTTATTTTTATTCCACCCTACTGATCCATTTATTTCTGTCCATGTGAGGTGTTGTACCCAAGATCTAAAATATTCCTTTTCTCAGTTCTATAAGGGTTATGATCATTTAAAATGAAATATTAGTTTTGAAGAAAGAGATCTACAAAAGAATGTTACAGATAACTGTGGTCTATTTTAATGATGCTAATTTATTGCTTTTGTTAAAACTATACCCATTTTTTAAAGACATGAACTGCTGATCCAGATTATTTGAATAAACGATATTTACCACTGTGAGTACAGCAATAAAACAGATTTCAATATATGCAATTTCAGCAGATATATTTTATACACATGCACATATTTTGTATGCATTTATATCACATACACACTGCATGTTTATATCACACACACAAATCAGGCATCTTGAACACACAAGTCAATGTATAGGGACTTCAGAAAAAGCTATTTTTATAAACTATGTATTATTCAAATATACTCGAGTCTGGACTAGATTTCCCATTTTAACATATTGGCTCTAAAAACTCCCTCCCCCACCCCACCCCCCTCCCCAAATTGCAGTGTTATAGATGTGCAATGACATGTGGAACATTAGTTTTTTATTTTTGAAAAAAATGTAAATTTTGGAACATAAGAAGGATTATGTAATTCGGCTGCTTGTTATATAAATTAATCTGTTTTGCTATTATTTTTCATCTTATTTGGACAAAGGGAGATTTTCCTCTCTTATGAGAGACGATCAATAGTTTATGCCCCTTGAGAACTCAGCAGCTCAACTAGTGTGTACAGTACTGTTTCTTTTAAAACATTTGTCCTGTATATTGCTCTGAAAAGTAGATGCCACTTCCCAATAATCATAAGCTAGATCTAAACATATTTGATTACCATGTTAAAAACTGTATAACTTTTTATCTATTAAAAATGATATTATATCCCTTTGGTTTAGAAAGTGCAAGGAGAAAAGCTGAGGGGAAACATCTCTTCATGAGGAGGGCAACAGAAAAGGTTTCCTGTAGTAGGGAACTATTAAAATACAGAAAATCCATTGAAGTGTTTTAAGAACACTTAATAGATAACTTAATATTTGCTTTTTTAAGAAGTATTCCCATCTCAGTTCCATTAAGTGGTACTTTCCGTTTCTGTTTCAGGTAGATTGGCAAATTGTACGAGAATAAGATTCCATAGCTATGTAGAGGTATGGCATTTTGAATATGCATACACATGAATTACTGAGAACTTTTTCTCACTCTGTTAGTTTGTAGAGAATTTGATATTCTTTTAAAAAATGAAAGTACTAGAACAAAAATAACTACTGTTAAGAAAACAGTGCCATTTGGAAAAATACTCAGTTTGTATAGGTTTTTAACTTTTAATCCATTTTGAAAGTTGTTTGGAAAGTTTACATTAGCTCAATTAAATTATGTTCAAATGTAATGAGCCAGTCTAATAGATTTAAGGATTGTGTAGTACAAATTGATTTTTTTAAACTATGCAGAACTGTATGCCTGAATATGTATTCTTAAGTAGGTTTTGACAGCACAATTCAGTACAAAATGTCTAGTATCCAAAGATCCAAATTCTACCCAAGTTACACTTGTGTAACTTTGCAGATAGAGGACCAGAAAATTCTCGTTTCCTACTTTCAACTAGAGGATTTTCACTAGAGAGGAGCCAGAATCAGTGAGCGCTCAAATCTGAGGTCTTTTATTCTGGCTTCTCATGTGCTAGACTGTATTTCTATACACTTGTGTATTCAGGGGTCCCTCAAGAGAAGGTCTCCACCTCTGCAAGGAAGAAGGTAGGGAGAGGAAAGAAAATGCTTAGCCTCATACACCATATATCCTCTCCAGACTTAGTATGTGGTAATATTGGTGCTAAGAGTCGGGGTGAGAATTCTCCATCCTTTGTACATGAAACCCGTGTAAGTCAAGTGGCTGTTTTCTGTCCCACTGAAGTCCTTGGAGCAGCCAGGTCTCGGTTTAATTAATAGCTTAACTTATTTTACTTACAAAGCAAGGTATCCACTTCCTCCCAAGAGGAGGCTGCCCACAGCCTAGTTAGTTTTACAAGTGTTATTAATAAAGACAGAATATGTAAGTAAGAGTCCCATCATTCCTG